AGGAATGACAAGAAGCCAGAGTGTCCTCAGTAGCAGCAGCAGAAGTTTGTGTATTTATTTATCAGGCACATTTTAGTAAGATTCATACCAGGGCTGGTTATGAGCCTTCTAGCATCTAGTGGGGTGAAAAGGGAACTACAGGGGTTCAGCATATCTCTGGTGTAGGATTCAAGACATCCTTCTATGGGTAAGACTCAAAAATTTGAAAAGGTATCTCAAATTTTAAGACTAGACGCTTTTGTGAAAGACCTGATTTTCAAGTTACCAAATAACCACCAAATATCAGTGCATCTGGAAAGTTGCCTAAAGTGCCGGGACATCTTTAGATTCCTGTAGGTTTCTAGCATGTGATTGAGACCTGCTCATTATTAATTGATTAGTTTTTTCATTTTTATGTTTTCCCCTTCTCTTTCTGCCAACTATCCCACCAGATCAGCACATTCTTGAAGAGCTTGAAAAGCAATCGATCCTTGTGTACACCCCATCCCGGAAGGTGAAAGGCAAGAGGGTCATTTGCTATGATGATCGCTATATAGTGAAAGTTGCTTATGAGAAAGATGGAGTCATCGTCTCCAATGACCATTACCGGGATCTCCAGAATGAAAACCCCGAGTGGAAATGGTTTATTGAGCAGCGACTACTCATGTACTCCTTTGTCAGTAACAGGTAAGAGACAGCTGTTGTTAAGCAATCTTTAATCCAAACATCATGGGCCAAGTCAGCTCCAACATCAACGCACCTCCCACCAGCAGCAGAGCATGGGAGCCTTTTTCTGAAGGGAATTTACAGCAACTTTTCTTATCTCATTTCTTTAGTTCCTGCTCCCTCATTTTTGGTCTTAAACCCCCCCGTGTCATTCTTCAATTAACTTCTCTATTTGAAAGGCAGCGTTAGTGACCAGCTTTGCTTCTTTCCAATCCAAACTGGGATGTTAACCCAAGGCCTGGTATCTTTCCATTCCTATTTCATAGCAGGATAACAGAATTAAACCAGTGATAGAAGGCTGCCTATCTGGCAGTATTTTTAGTTCCCCTACAAGACAGAACAGCCCTTTTTCCTATGCCTTTCTAATCATAAATTTCTAGAAGAGAGAGAAGCTGGTCTCCCTGCCCTTTAGCCATCCCCACTGGGAAGGTTTTCATTAAGGCACTCGCAGTGTGTCTGCGAGGCTGAACTGCGTGCTCCTCAGTCTGTACAGGCTAACTTTGTCTGAGTTGCCTGAGGCATTCGTCATCAGCCAGTCTGGCTGGGGAACTGTGCTTAGGGACATCCAGTGCGCAGGGACGGGTGTGAGCAGAGAAGCTGCCTCGCACAGCGGCACTCTCTGTGGGTCAGGATGGAGACTCGGCTCTCCCACTACCGAAAAAATGGACGGGAAGGCTTGGCACTGGGTTTCAATTTCCCTGTAACATTGTTCACTGAAATGCAGTCACTGAACATCAGCATACTGTATTTCTCAAAGCTCCAGTCCTTTATCTTCAACTACCCCTAGGCTTCTTCTCTAGTTACTAATGGGTTACAAATATTTGTACGAGCATTTCCTCCCTATTTCACAGGGATTGCCAGATCTTTTCAGAACCCTTTTCTCAGAAAGTGTAGCTGTTACTCTGATGCTCATTTGAATAGCTTCAGTGGCACCTTCTTGCACAGCTTTAGGAACCTCTCAAAAACCACAGCCTGAAGTTGGAGCTTTCAGTCCCATTGTGCAGATGAACAAATCCCCGGTGATGCAGGGGTGGGTGCAGGTGAACAAATCCCCTTCCCCTCCCACCTGGGACTCCCTTCATCCAACAGAGTCGTTCTATGGGTGGGTGCCATGTAGATTCATTTACAAACAAGTCCAGAGATGCTAATTAGTTTTCCTCCTGAAGCATCACATTCAGGTACTGGCATAGGAGAACAAACAGTTTTATCTGAGCATCTTTGCAGGCCTTAGAGCAGGAGCCTTTACTGAATCCTTGTAAAAGGCTGGGCTTGTTTATCACACCACTTGCATGATCAGCTGTAGCTCTGAATTAACCACTGGTGTTCTAAATCTCATTCTCCTACAAGCATTTAGTAAGAGAAAAGGGAGCTGGCGGTGAGGCTCACCATGCTGGGACCACAGGAGAGTTTGCTGCTGCTGCTACTTCAGGGAAAAAGGAAGAGATGCTGTTAACAGCTGGGGCTGCTGCCTGGCCAGAGCTACGCCAAGCCGCCATGTATTCCCTCTTGGTTTAAATTATTAGGAAAAACCAACTACACGAAGCTGAAGTATTGGCTTGGCAGGCAGGAGGGCACCGTGTCTCGTAGTGCAGCCTGACTGCTGAAGGCCAGGCTACGAAAGGATCACAAGGAGTTTCTGCCCTAAGCTTGTGCCACAAGCTGTGATGGCACTTCAGCTACAAAAGCTTGAGGTAGTTTTGTTACCCCTGTGACTTTTTCCTGTTTCAGGTTTATGCCTCCTGATGATCCGTTAGGCCGGCACGGACCCACACTTAATAACTTCCTCAGCAAAAAGCCAGTGCTTCCTGAACCAAAGTGGCAGCCTTGCCCCTATGGTGGGTTTCTCTCGGTGCTGTGAACTGCCACCCCGCTCCCTCCTGCCCCTTGCTTCCTCACAGCGCTTTCCTGCGGCTACGGGCGAGTGCTGTTGCCACGCACTGTCCCCCTCGGCACTTTGTGTGGTAGAGCTTTTGGCCCAGGTGATGTTTTTTTTTCTTCCTGCTTAAGCGGCTTCAGCCTCGGGGAAGGCAGCAGCTGGTTCTGGCTCCTCCATCCTCGCCCGCGCAGCACCCGAGCCAGGCACCGTGGCCCTGCTGGCCCCCGTCCCCAGCCTGCACACACTTTCACATGGCAGGGTGCACTTCCACTACAGCACTTGGGAAAGGCCGTCCGAATGCTCACCCTCCCCTTTCCAGTAATGTGGAGGTTTCTCAGAGGCAAATCTCCACACTAGTTTTTTTTAAAGCAACCCTTTGTAGCAGCAGGTCTCCCCGTCCACCGAGTGCAGCAACGGGAACATAAATGGATTTCAGACACTTCCAAAATAGCAAACACTTCCTTTCCCTGCTGCTTCACCATGCTAGTTAGGTCAGCAATATTTAAATCTGGGGTCAAAAGTACTGAACTGGAAGACAACACTTCCCTCTGCTGTTTGTCCTCACCCCACCCTCTGTGCAAGCGCACAGCGCTGGGGAGAAGTGATGAGTACCCTCATCGACACGGGGGCTAGCAACAACCTTCTGTTTGATTTTTTTTTTTTTTTAATTCTTTCAGGTAAAAAATGCACCTATGGCAATAAATGCAAATTTTACCACCCAGAGAGACTACATCAGGTCCAGCTCTCGGTTGCTGATGAACTCAGGGCCAAAATAGAGGTCCCACTGAACCTGGGGGAAGAGGAAGAGCAGCAGAACCACTCACTGTACGGGACTGGGGGAGAGCCTGCACCGCCCAACGCCTGCACAGAAACGCTGCGAGAACCAAGCGGCTGCGCAGGGGTGTCCTGCTGCCCGGGGTGGTCCCAGGGGAGCTGTCGAGAGCAGCCATCTGGTGCCTGGGCTGGTGGCCCCAGTGCTGACCTGGGGCTGGACAAGCAGCTGCTGCAGCCAGAGCTGCTGGGAGACCAGCTGCTCCTGGGGGAGATGTCAGCGCTGGCCATCAGTGACGACAGGCATGGCTACAATTGCTCCATGTGTACCTCTCAGGACAGAGAGGTGACAGACAGCTGTCATCGCTGTGATGACCTCAGGCACAACGCGTACGCACTTCATCACCCCCTGAGCTTGGACCACACCTGCCCACTGGGGTGCCCTTTCCAGCAAGCGGTGCTCACGCCTGCACTAGGCAGGATGTGCCTGGACCACGGCTGGCCCCAGGAGCCCTACAGCACACGTGGGATAGGGCAGAGGAACTGCTACATCCCTGGTGGTGCTCAGCAGAAACAAGCCCTGGAGACTCAGCACCACACTTTGCCACAATCCACAGCTCTTGCCCCTGACCCGCTTTGCTTGTACAGTGAGCAGCAGCTGCAGCATGGTTTCCCCAGCCAGCCCCCACAGCACCCCTTTCTGTTAGACTCCAGGGACCAGCTGGGCTTCTTCCAGAAAGCCCACGCTTACCCCACTGCCTCTTACAGTAACTACTGGCCCTCCCCAGCTGCAAGGCCACCTTCTTCCCAGCAAGCAAACGTACACAGGGAACTGTGCTCCCTTTTCCCTTACGGTGAGGTGGACCACGCCATGGCTTTGTACCCCAATATCAAGGATATTGCTTAGCTTGACTTTACTGATTCAAAGACACAGAAACTGTTGAAAACTCCAGATCAAACCTTTCCCAATAAGCACAAGTCCTGGGGCACAAAGCTGAGGCTTCATAAAGTGCTACTAAAGCGCTTTATGGCAAGGGTTAGAGTTGTCCCAGGAGCACAAGCTTAAGCCTTGGCCAGTGATGTTGCACAGGGCACCTGGTCAAGGCAAAGGCTGCTGCTCACTGCAGAGGGATTTCGGTCACCTCCCATGGAAGTGAATGGGAGGGCTCAGGGTAACTGGGCTGTCAGCATTTGAACCTCACTGGTAACTGGTTTCAGGATGGCATAGATCTTCATTAATGCCTTGAAACACTAGACATGTTTTTAAAGTCTTCACCTACTGTTCAGCTACTGTAGAACCATGCTCTACGCATCTCAGTAACAGGACTGCCATAGGCCCCCTCTGACTCCTCGGTCAGCTAGAGCATAAAAGTAATTTGGGCTGTTCACCAGACCCATGCTCTCTGCTAGAAGAGAGGGTCTGTATTATTGCTTTCTAGCTTTCAAAGACACATCTCTTGTTTATAAACCAATGCTGTGAACACACAGAATCACTAGCAAAGGTGGTGGAGATACTCCAGAGCACTCAAAGATAGCTGCAGGTACATTTCTCAGGGATCACACACGATATAAGACAAATCAGGGAAGTAACCTTTAATACAAGTCCTGATGTGGACTGAGGGTTTGGGGTTGTTTCTTCATTTCTGAATTAATACCAAGAGGAAAAAGGAGCTTTAAAGTGTCTCAAACAAGGGTTAAGTCAACAATAGTTTACTTAAGTACCAAATGTGGTCCCATAATGCAATTATACAGCTGATTTATGATTACAAACATCTAAACTGTGTTCTGTTGGGACGTGTTTGATACTCATTAAGCTGTAAAGCTGCTAATTTCTGTATTATTCTACTGAATTATTCAGGTTATAATTCAAATATTAAGGTTGATCCTGAAAATTTTTGGCATTATACCAAAGTTTAAGTATGTCAATATGACATATTTTAAAAATGTTTTAACATTCTAAAATGGTCATCTAGAACACTTAATGTTCTGAATAATGTAATCTCTCTTCTTTTTTTTTTTTGTGCTTGGTTTTGAAGTTTTTTCTAAAATGGTCATCTAGAACACTTAATGTTCTGAATAATGTAATCTCTCTTCTTTTTTTTTTTTGCTTGGTTTTCAAGTTTTTTTTCCTATTGCTCTTAGCACTGATGCTTCATCAAGTCCAGCATTCAGGAAGCGTTTACAAACTCTCAGATCTTGCAGTATCTGTTAGATTCTTCTCTGAAGTGCCATTCGGGATGTTGTTCCCAGGCAGGAATTAAACATGTCCCTCACTCACAACTCTGAATTCTCTTGCTTTCAAAAACATGGCTAAGGAGCAGTTATCTATCTTTAGTGACATTATCACAGGATGCATTTTTGTAAGTGGTAATGGTTTGACCTGTTTCCCCACTTGGAAATGGCCACCAGGTTTTTTTTTTGGTGGTGGTATTTAAAGAATCTTCAACAAATATGTATACTGTATCAGTTCACTCTCTTATGGGCATTGTGGTTGGCTCCAGGAAATTCAAATTTGGAGTTTGGAGTATGATTTCTCTTCACAGAACACGACTGTTTTTTCCATAGATCATGAATTTTCCACTAATTACAGTCATAATACATATAACTGGATCACTGGAATGGCTTATAAATTTAGCCACTGCATATTACATAAATATTGGAAATAACATTAAAACAAAGCTATGGAATAAATGCCCTGTTCTGCAGTGCAACAGCCATCGCTTGTTGCACTGAAACATGCCACGCACCATACTTAACACATGGGAGCAACCGGAGACAGTTCATGGATTAAAGGCCTTCATTGTGCCTGTGCGAGGGCAGGGGCATTGGCTTGCCCGAAAGCCTCGACCAGAGCTCTCCCCACTGCTGCTGTACATGTCCATACACTGTCAGAGAAAGCATGATGTAGAGCAGAAAAACACCTTCCATGTACTGAAACAGAGCAAATCCCAAATGACAGCACTCAGAAAACACACACACAGCAACAGAGCAGGATATAACTGTATATGTCAACATCTATTTTTACGTCGGGAACGTACGCTCCATATTTCACTACAGAAAGCATTTTAAAACTGGCATGCTGCCTTTACATAGTGCCCTCAGCTTGCTGGAGACATGTGCGTAAGCTTTTCTCCTTTTCCTCTGAGGATACACAGGAATTTGGTGCCTGTTCAAAACCCTCTCTTGATGTTTAATAACTTATTTTTCTTTCATTTCTGTCTTAGTTACTGGGGAATCTCTCAGTAAAATACACAGAATGTGCATTCTGCTGAGAAAGTGTCTGAGAAAATAAATCAGACTCTGGCGCTAAACAGAAGTTGATTTCTCTTGGCTCTTCTGGTCCCCAGAGGGTGTTTTCTCACGGAGCTTTTGTTGGGAGGGCAGCTCAGCAGCAGCGCTGTGTCACTGCCCGCTTGAGAGGAACTCTGCCGCTGGCCAGGAGCCCACGGAAAGCACAGACTGGTTCGTTATTTCACCACAGCACAAACATCTGGGGCTCAGAACTCTCTGCTCCTGAGCCTTTTGCACTTTCCAAGGCAGGAGGATTTCCTTCTGGCTTTGGCAGCTCCCGAGGCAGGGGAAGGGGCTGCTAAGAGAAAGGGGCAGGCAGCTTTTACACAGCCGGGGTAGGAGGCTGCTGCCATTTGGTATCGCTGCGGAGATGCATCTGAGTCCAGCTCTTGCTGCCACATTGAAAATGAATCCATAAATCCTAAGAGGCTGAGAAAGCCCTTGATGTTCTTTGCTTTTTGGTTGTCAAGACGTAGAAAAGGATGGAACAATCCTCCAGGAGACTGGCTGCTTCCCTAAGGGAGATTTGCAGAGCTCCCAAATTAATTTTAAAGTTAAAAACTAATAAAAAAGTCATAAAAGAGACTCCCCTTCTCTACTCTCACCCTTTCCCAAAAAGTCAGGAAGCCACAGACACTCTCCTTTTTGAAGGGCTAGGGAAACTAGATACAAATATTTCACTGAAAAATCTTGGGTAGAGGTTGCCCCTGCGACAGCTCTTCAATATAAAAAGGGGGAAGGAGGGTGGCCCTCTGCACCCAGTGCAGTCCTGGGCAGCTGACAGTCGCTTCCTCCCACCTCTTCTTAAATATAGAAATTCCTCCCTCACAGAACATTGGTGGTAAGTCTACTAATTTGGTGAGCTTAGATACCATAAGAACTAATGCCATAAGAGGGTCTATGGAATAATCTTGGTCTGTATTAAATACTTGTATTTGCCAATTATTCTGAGACTTTTTGCTAATATTTTAACTCACTTCCCAGAAGAGCTGGCACAATTTATAAGCAAACATTTGAACTATTTAACAAACAAATAAATAGAACAAGACAGGTTTCACAGCTTCTCTCCTCCTTAAAAACACTGGGGAAGAGCAAGCAAGCCCTGTACTTCACCAAGCACGCATGACAGACTACCTCTGCAAGTCAAAAAAACCCCAAAGCCCCTGGTAAAAGCACAGTCCTACCTTGGACACAGGTACTCTACATATGTATCTCTAAGATAACAAATCAGATATTATCTTCCACCTTTTGCATGGGCTTTCCCCAAGCCAGGCAGAACATCTCTGTTTTACTCCTGGAGGCACACCTCATTCCCTCTGCCACCGTACACCCTTTCCTCCTCTGCCTCAGGAGATGCCTGCTCTGCATCCACTCGCACACCTACAAGACTGATGCAGTATTTACCTCCTACATGCTGGTGGGACTGGGATACTTTGAACTCTCGAGAAGAACAGTTTAATATTACAGCACCACTTGTCATTAGCACTATTAAGAAAGCACAATGACTTGCAATTGACAGTGAAGGGATTTTTATAGCGTTTTAGGCACGTCCATTTTTCCACCCCAACTTGGGTTCACTGCTTCAAAGTCTTGCAGCAGGCTCGGAGGAACTGTTTAGTAAGATGCACTGATGTGCTGGCTTGGCAAAAGCCATCAAAATGGACATACAAATAGAGCAAAGCTGTGAGCACAGCGGTTTGCGGGGACAGCAGATGCAAGGTGTCAAGCCAGAATGTTAGGACAAGACACATGGGGCTGGCAGGCCCTTGAACGCAGTAAGGACATGAGATGATGGGCCTCTGCCGATGAATGTCAGCATCAGAATTGCCCATTGTAACCGCACCGACAGCTCCTCCTCTCTGGCTTTCCCCCGTGTCACACAACTTCCTCGGCTTCCACAGCTTTTCCAGTTTTTTCCTCCTGTTCTTGCTGGGCTCAGAATTTCAATGGTGCCCTTTGCAGAGTGGGTTGCAATGTACAGAGTGCTCCCCCGTCCCAACCCCTCTCCCTCCACCTCCGCAGAAGCTGCATGCCCCCACCCACTTTTACTCCAAACCCCTGTTTGGTGCTCCCTTGGCTTCCCGGCTTCCCCGCTCCCCCCCTGCCCCAGCACTCACCTCCTCCCTCACTGTGCTCCTGCCCAAACCGAGACAGCATCCTGCCTCCCGCCTCACTCCTGCCCTCTGCCTGAAGGCTTTTTGGTGTTTCTTTTTTCTTTTCCTTTTCTTTTTTCCTTCTTCTTTTTAATTTTCTTCTTATTATTTTTTTTTAAAATAGTGTTTGTTTTTGGTGTTTGTTGTTATTAAAACCTTGATGCAGATACCTTTAGCCTGGCAGAGACCTGATATGCTCGGGCTGTTTTCCCATCCTGCTTTAAAACAGTCTTCCTAGCAAAAGTCGTTTAGGTAAAGAAACAGAGGCAAAGTTACATTCACACCTGCTTGTGCAGACTTGGTACATCTTTCTCTGAGGATGAAAGGGGATGCTAGCAGCAATTCAGCCACCATATTGTCTTATCTACCTTAAATCCTACTGTCAAAACAACATATATCCTCCACTTCAGCACCACCAAAACAGTGTGTTTGAGGGAGTTACTACTGGTTTCACGTAGAGAAC